GTTATATTTTTAGGTAAAGTGAAAAAAAGCATTAACCTTGAAGCAATGAATTATTTGTTACATTATTAATGTTTTATAATGGGCTTAATATTAATAACCCTATGAATTAGGCAAAGGAATTCAATCGGGATTAGAATTAGTTATGTTTTCTTTTTGTTTCCCAAATATTAATTTTTGGAAAGTGTTTTCAAAAAGAAGATAGAGAATTAGGATCAAAAGAAGGGACAGGAAAATCTAAAGAGCTGCCTCAGGCAACAGAAGGATCCTGGGTGCCCAAAGATAAAAGAGGAGCCCATCAGCAGGGAAAAGAGACTGTACTGACCAAAGAATAGAAAGTCAGTTTGGACAAGTCCTCCATTTTTTCTCAGGACCAACACATTATGGATTGTACTTCAGAATGAATAGGACAGCCTCATGGACAGATCCTCAAGAATTATACAGTGATGCACCAATAATTAATTTAGGCTGTATTTCTCTTTTAACTATAGGAGGTTTATTACCACAACTTCATGTCATATAGTCTCAACAAAATTTGAACAAGCTATAGAAAACCTGCATTCCCTCCATTCCCTCTTCTTCATAACTTGCTTTGATTTTTCCTCTCTTGGGGACAGCAATTGCCAGTCTTATTTTATGACTTTCCAACAAAAATGAAAGCTAAAAAGAAAGTACATTGTGGGAGGAAAAGAACCTAGTATATTTTTATCTGTTTTTCATATATAATTTTTTGTTGCATTCTAGGTACATTGTAATGCTTCAAGTTGATATTAGGCCTAAAATTACAGTCAGCCCAATAATATAATTGCAGAAGGGTGAATCAAGTCTATGATTGCTTTGTAGATAATCGCCACTTCCATATGGCATACTGATGTTAAGACTGTTGATCCAAACTTTAAAGAGGTTCTTTTCCCTGTTATCCTTGGCCATAAGAGTGCAGGAATTGTGGAAAGCATTGGGCCAGGAGTGACCAACTTCAAACCAGGTATTTTGTGTTTTGATGCCAATTAAATAGAAATATCAGGCTTCCCCTGATACTGTCCTGGTTTTGCATGCTATAACTGGTATCTACATAATGATAATCTTTCCCAAAGCAAAATTGAAACTTACAACCAATCACTCTAAGAAAGAGATGGAATATTTTAAGTCAGAACTATCTTTAAAAAGTCTTGGGGGATGTGGCCAATTTATTTACATATAGTGCTGAGAAACAGCCCTCTAAAGCAAGGTATAAGGTTAATTTAAACTGAAGGTTCCCTGGTGCACAAATGACAACAGCTTCCTCTCAAAAATGGAAAACTATTTTAAACAAAAAATGACAATTTATAGAAGACTGAAGATTAAAAATATTACGCATCTGTCAAAGTTAGCTTAAGTGTCTTTTTGAAAATTATAAAACAAAAATAATACCTAAATGAAATCAATGGCTGAAATTATTTCACATTTTATAACAGGCCTACTGAATACTATAAGTGATATGATACTTGCTTGACAGAAAAGACAAATCATATTACTCTTCCTCCTTTAATGATAATGTTCCAAAATTAGAGGTATGTTAGTATTTTTCTGTTCCAAATAAGCTCATAGAAACAAATTGCTCCTTCAAATTTATCATGAAAGAATTGACAGATGCAGTCCTTTTAGTCCCAGTTCTGCCATTTACTTTCTGGACAATAACTTCACTCAGATTCCTGCTTCCTAAAGTAGGAATAATAATAGTATTCATCTCAGATGGCTGCCCTAGGAATTAGGTGAAATAACAATGTAAGCAGTATGAATGGGACCTGGAGCATACTAAATATTGAACAAATGTGAATCATCACCATTAAACCTTAGTCATCAAAGAACAGAAGGCATTATTAAATTGGAGTGGCATAAAAAGCAAAACAAATGTGAAATTTAAAAATGAATTTAAATGGTAAGACATAAAATAATATAGTTTACTCTCTGTATCCAACCTATTATGGTTCATCTCCTCTATTATATAGTACAAAGACTATTTGGAAATGTAATAAATGATAGTCATGTTGTAGAGGGTTGGTGTACTATAAAAAATAATCTTTTCCTCTGATTCATCTATAAAAACCTGTCACAAGTAAAATGTTAGGCACCATTCAATAAAGTGTTTTTCTTTCTAGGTGACAAAGTAACTCCATTCTTTATACCTTAATGTAAAAAATGCAAGTTCTGTCTAAGTCCACTCACAAATTTTTGTAGAAAAAAATCAGGTAAGCTCTCTACATTTTTAATAAGAGCATAAATTGGCACAAATATTTTGGACAGCACAGTGACAATACCTAAATGGAGTTGAAGAGGTGAAAGCCTTCTGTCCACCAATTCTACTTCTATGTTTGTACAAGGTACTGTTCCAAACGCATCAAAGAGATACATAGTAGAATATTCATTGCAACATTGTTTAGAATAGTAATCAATTAAATGCAACACAAACACCTATCAATTAGACTAATAAATTGCTATACGGTGACAAAATAGAATACAATGAAAATGGCTAAACTTTATATGTAGTTAACATAGAATAATTTCACATATATAATGTTAAAGGAAGGAAGCAAGCTGCTGAACTATATATTTAGTAAGATGTCATATACAAACACAATACTATACATTGGTTATGGCTACATATATAATAAAAATATAAATACACACTGGAATGATAAATGTCAAATTGATCTGTTTCTACAAGGATGAGAAATAATTTACTCTAAGGCCACATAAATGTAAGTCTTGGAGCCAGGTTTGTAACCTAAGGAGAAGGCTCAAGAGTCTAAATCCTAATTGTCTTATTTTTATTCTGTTGAGACTATAAAAAGATCCATTTGTCCTTAACAATATTGAAATCAGTTAGGGGCTGGGGATTTAGCTCACTGCCTTGCAAGTACAAGGTCCTGAGTTCAATTCCTGGTACCAAAACAAAAACAGAGAAATTAGTTAAAGTGTTAAACTATATTACTCTTACATATTATTGTGCCCCAGTTTCCTAATAAAATAGTGATTAAAATGTCTACTTTGTAGAGTTGCTGTACATAGTCAAAGAATTTAAACTACACTCTTTTTATTTGAAACAAAGTATATAGGTAAAAACCATGAGTTTTAATATCACAAAGTTAATCAGATCTTATATCATGCCAGATAAAATACATTAATCGCTTTTGAAGTTTTCTCAGAAAAACATAAAACCAGATACAGATCAAGTGTTTTAATAAAAAATACTAACTTAAGAGGAAATACAAGGACAGAGAAATATGTCACACCAGATTTCAGGAGTATAACCAGCAAAATTCACTAGGAAGAAAATTCTATAGAACAAATGATTCAGTTTCTTCTGAATAGGGAAAAGTTTTCCCCCATTCCCTCAATATGTCCTGGCTTCCAGACACTTCCTCTCAAGCATCTCGGGAATTTTCTTTGTTCTATTTTATTACTTCTATCTCCCCACCAAATGTAAATGAGATGTGGCTCTGTGCACTGAGACTGCTGTCTGTAATATCTGATAACCGGTGAATTTGCTGGGCCCAAATGACCTGTAACCGATGCAAAATGCTTAACTCCTGCAAGTCTGCCACCTCCCAAGAGTATAACCTGCCCTGCCCAACCCCAAAGGGGAGGGTCTCAGTCTCTTGTGGAGAAGTACCAGACTTATGCTCTGGAGTTAATAATAAAACTGCACATGTTGCCTCCAAAACTTCTGGGTGCATCTTCCATTCTCCTGGACTACCTATCTATATGTTCTGGATGGCATTTTGCCACTACACTTCAACAAATAAATTGCAAACAAAGAAAAGGAAAGGACAGATGAGTCTACAAATTAAAAGAGACAAGAGAAATATCAACCAAATGCAATATATGGTCCTAAAAGAATCTTTCAGAGATACATATTGTAATATTTCAATACAAATGAAATAGTGATGTCTGTAATTTGCTTCAAAATAGTCTAATGCAGGCGAGGGGTGTGTACTGCAAAGGGGTAATAGGTGAAACTAGATTATTCATGAGTTAATAGTTACTGAAGTTGGGAGATGGGTATATTAAGCTTGTTATATTTTTATATCTGAGTTTTCTGTAAAAAATTTTGAGTTAATACACCTAAAGCCCTTAAAAGAGTTTCTGGCAAACAAAAGGCATTCAATAAAAGTTTGTTGGTATTATCCATAATACATATTACATATTAATGAGTAATGTGTAATTAATGAGTAATAGGCATTATTAATGAGTAATATTGCATACTGATGAGCAATATGTATTAATGAGTAATGTAATATGTAATACATGTTATATATTAATGTGAAACTATCATATTTTCTTAATTTTTTCACTTTAATTCCATAAAACAGTCATGACAAATATATAATGCCCAACATATTTTTCAGGGTAATATTCAGTATTTTATTCATCCCCCCTTAGGAAATTTGATATTCCTACTATTAATCAAGAACTAATGTAAGACAAAACTAGCAGGTTTACTGCAAAGGAAAACCTATTTTCCATTTCATGGGAGAGTTCATTCTCACAATACACTGTGGTATCAGACGTTAATCTTGCCAAAATACATAATGAAGCAAATTTAGAGAGAGTTTGTCTGATTGGATGTGGATTTTCATCTGGCTATGGGGCTGCAATCAATACTACCAAGGTAAATAAACACCAGGTTTAAAACACAGGTTACTGGGAGGCAGCATTATATAAGGGAACTAAAATTATTTTCAAACTCTGGCTAGGTCATTTATTACCTGTGTGATTTGAAGCAAGTTATTTAATTTCTCTAGAATGCTATCTACTATAAATACTTGTAGCAATAATTAAATATTATATATGTAAAATATGTAGCTCAGTAGCCACACTATGGTTGGCACCTAGCACATACTATTTTCTATACCAGCATGTTACATTTTAGACCATCCCTGATTTAAATACAGCCTGCTTAAATATGTTCTCTAAAAAAAGAATGCTTATCCTGAAACAACTGACCAAAAGGTTACAGAAATCCTCACCCATTCCATTCAGTCACCCCTCTGAGTTTGATCCCCAGTACCAAAAAAGAAAAGATGGAGAGCTGGGGATTTAGCTCAGTGGTTCCGCTGCCTGCCTTGTAAGCACAAAGACCTGAGTTCGATCCCTGGTACCAAAAAAAGAAAAAAAGCATTCAGTCACCCTACTTTTTTACTGATGCTGCAAATTCTTCTCATTCTGCTTCTCTTTATATTCCATGTGATTTCAAGGGAGTGTCTGTGGTGGCAACTCATGGTACCAAGATTTGTCCCAGGAACCCCATGTTAGATTTAAAATTCTTACAAGGCTGTTTAAACTGCAGACTAGAGGGATCTCAAAGAGGGATCTCCCACTTGGATATCTCACACAACCTTGTTACTTTCTTAGTCTTAACTTCCTTCATGATAGTCCTATCTCTTGATTCAATACTGCAAAATGTAGCTAGAGTTTTTTCTAAGCAACAAATCTGATTTCAGTCTCCTTGCATTGTTTCCTTTCTCCCTCAAGGTAAGGATAAACCCCTCATTAGGCTCTTTTCCCTTAGCACTGCTCATAATTCCCTCAGGCCCAGCCCAGAGTCCCTAAGTCCCAGTTACCATGGCCTTTTGGACTTTTGCTCTTCCTTGGCTGTTATCAGTGTTGCAAGGGAGACTCCCAATTGCCCTTATACTGACTTCACTTTGATACCAGTCCTTTGTAAAGAATGTTAATACTAATGACTCAATTACAGGTTTTTTGTTTGTTTGTTTTTGGTTTTTTTAGCTTTTTAGAATTAGTTTTCCAGGGCCCAGGATTTGGCTCAGTGATTCTGCCACCAGCCTTGCAAGCACAAGGGCCAGAATTCAATCCCTGGTACTCCCCCCTAAAATTAGTTTTCCAGAATCTATTTCTCCTAACTAAAACTTTTGTGTTCTTTGACCCACATCTCCCCATTCCTTACTACCCCCCACAGCTTCTGGTGGCCACCATTCTACTCTCAACTTCTAGTTGAATTTTTTAGAGTTTACATATATATGAGATCATGCAGTACAGTAATTATCTTTTTGTGCCTTATTTCACCTTAGCATCATGTCCTCCAGGGTTTTCCCAGTTGTTACAATGACAGGATATCTTTCTTTTGAAGGATGAATAATGTCCCTTTTTGTATATAGATCAAGTTTTATTTATTTATTCATCTATCTATTCATAGGCAGGTAGATTTCATAACCTCCCTATTGCAATGGGAGTAATGTTGCAACAGATGTGGGAGCATAGATAACTATTCAATATACTGATTTTACTGCCTTTAGATATATTCCCAGTAGTAGGTTTGCAAGATCTCACATTTTTAATTTTTTAAGGAACCTCAATGATGTACTGTAATAATAGCCGTGTTACTTTACATTCTCAGCAATCATATACAAGGGTTATGTTTCCTCCATATTCATGCAACATGTTATATTTTGTTAACTATTCTAATGGGTAATCTTTCATTGTGGCTTTAATTTGTATTTCTCTGATAACTAGAGATGTTGAAATTTCTTTTCACCTCCTTGTATGTCTCATTTTGAAAAATGCCTCTTCAGGCCCTTTGTCCATTTTGTAATTGGTTTATTTGCCTTCTTATTATTGAACTGTTTGACTTCCTTATATATTTTTAGCATTAGCCTCTTCTCTAAAGTATGATTTGTAAATATATTTTGCCATTCCTTGGGTTGTCTCTTCACACTATTGACCACTTCCTTGGCTGTGCAAAAAAATTTTTTTAATTGCTGTAATCCCATTAATCTATTTTTTGTTTCCTATGCTTTACAGTCATATTAAGAAAAAAATTTTCCAGGCCATTGTTGTGGAGATTCCCCCTTCTCCTTGCCATGTTTTCTTCTAGGAGTTTTTACAAGTTTCAGGCTTACATTTAAGTATTTAGTCCATTTTGAGTTGGTTTTTGTATACACCATGAAATAAGTTTAATTTCATTCTTTTACATGTAGATACCAGTTATTCCACTTATTAGGTTATCATTTTCCTCGTAGCATAAATTAGAGAGGTGTGTTCTCTCTTTTCGTTACTGATTTGCTTCCAAGTTAGAAGGTACTAACATTTCTCTTGGACAGATTTGGTCTTTTCTTTCTGCTTATTTTTGAATCCTAATATTTTTCCACCCTAAATTATAAAATACTAAATAAGCACCTTCTGTGTAGTGTTGTTCTATTGCTATACCACTCTAAAGAATAATATATACAGTTACAGCATTTTTCTTCCTGTCTTGCTTCTATTTAATTCAATGTAGCAAACACTTATTAAAGACTCAATATACTATAAAGAAGATTCTGATAATAATATGGAAGATAAAAACCTTAAAACTTAGTCTTCTAAAGAAACAATATACAAGGCCAGGGATATAGCTCAGTGGCGCCACACCTGCCTGGCAAGCACAAGGTCCTGAATTTGATTCTTGGTACTAGAAAAAAGTCTCCAAAAGAAACAACATACACATAAAAAATCACAGACTGTAATAAATTATATGATATAGGAAAAACAAAAAGATAAACATTGATTTCTGACCAAAGAATCAAGAAAAGTTTCATAGAAAATGTTCTTTTATGTCAGGCCTAGAAGTTATAGATTACATTTTAATTAAAATAAAATGAAAAGTACATCAAGCTGAAAGAGTATCAGGAATTAATGTATGAGGGGAAGAAAATAGAACCATTTATTTTGGCTTGTACTGGGAATATCATGGAGATAAACCTGGAAGGTAAACAAAGGTCAAATAGCAAAAATCTTTCAATGTCCTGCAAAAACATTTGGATTTCATTCCATTTAAATGAATCAATAATCTGGACCAATCAAGTGACTCACTTCACAGGGAAATATTAGTGGTCATTCAAAACCAATTATAATGTTAATACAACTGAATAAGGTCTATAGAAATGTGGATGCCAAATTACTTGTGATCCAACTTAAAAAGAAAAAAAAAACACAAAAACAGTCTACACATTTACATAAATTAAAAATAAATAAATAAATAAATAAAACTTTAGAATAGGCCTGGGGATTTAGCTGAGTGGTTCTGCTGCCAACCTCTCAAGCTCAAGGACCAGAGTATGATCCCTGGTACCAAAAAAGAAAATCCTTCACAACATGTGAACTTTTGAATTTTGTCCTGACAACACGGAAATGAAAAGTAAAACAAGAGAATAATTTTCACCTCAGTTTATTTCTTATAAACTTATAAGGCCCTAAAATGATTTTCAAAATTTAGATAGTAATGCATCTATTTTCATATTGGTGGATTTTTCTCCATTGACTGTATCATATAGTTTTATAAGAGGCAACCCTTCATTTATATGTCCCCTATCCTAAACTTCCCCTTAAAAATTAAAATAAAGTTGGACTAGCTGCTTTCAAAGTTACTTTATAATTTTCCTTTCCTGCCTGTAGGTCACCCCTGGTTCTACTTGTGCTGTCTTTCGCCTAGGAGGTGTTGGTCTTTCTACCATAATTGGTTATAAAATAGCAGGAGCTTCCAGAATCATTGCTATTGACATCAATAGTGAGAAGTTTACAAAAGCCAAAGTCCTAGTAGCCACTGATTGTTTCAATCCTAGAGACCTAGATACACCCATCCAGGAGATCATCAATGAATTAACCAATGGAGGTGTAGATTTTGCCTTTGACTGTGCAGGAGGATCTGAAACTATGGTATGTATATATTTTCAACTCATTCTTTAACCATCAAATAATAGGGCAAAGTGGTTATGTTTGTTACAGTATCTATAATCTAATCATTCCTTCTTAATATTTTCAAAAGTGGTAAGAAGTTGAACTGTCAGCTATGGGTCATTTACCACCCTCAACTATACTGTATTTCTTTTAATAACCACTGATACATCCTGTAATAGTCTGTTTGCTGTCACTATAATAAAATACATAAAGCTGGGTACTCATTTTAAAAAAGAAGTTCATTTAACTAAATTTCAGAGGCTGGGCGTCGTGGTGCACACCTGTAATCCCAGCACTTGGGAGGCTGAGGCAGGAGGATCGCTATGAGTTCGAGACCAGCCTGAACTACATAGTGAGTTCCAGGTCAGTCTCGACTACATAGTGAGACCCTGTCTCAAAAAAAAAAAAAAAAAACAAAAAAAAAAAAAAAAAAAAAAAAAACTAAATTTCAGAGGCTGAAAGTTTAAATGGCATGGGGCAGGTTCTGGCAAAGGTCTCTCATCTACATTACCTTATGGAAAATGTTATCAGAGAGAAACCATACTGCAAGGCAGGAATCCAGAGATCAGTAATAGACACTCAGTAAGCTCTTCTTATTAATGATACTAACTCTGAACATAACCACACAGAAGTCAAAGTTCCCAACACATGAACCCTTGGGGGATACATTCAAACCATATTCAAGTCAGTGTTTCCCGAACTGAGATACTATATTTATGAATTCACTCTTGTGATAAGATAAACAGCCTTACTAGCATTATTTGTAAATTATTTATAGATGTTAGTTTTTCTTTTGAGATCCCCTTTATGTGGATTCCTTTTATTACACTGGAAATAATATTTTCCAATTTTGCTTTCCATGATCATTTCAATTTCTTATTTCTGAAAGATAATTTAACAGGGTTCATCATTTTAATTAGCTGAAAGAATGCCCTTTTGACTATTAAGTCAAGTAAATAACATAGAGTCAACTGTAGCACATAGGCAATACATGGAAAGGTTACTTTGTGGCAGCATCCACCTTTATTCTTCATTGAATAATTACCTATTACATATTTGCTCAAAGACACTAAGAAGAGTTTTTGATTTCTTAAATTTCTTTCTAATAAAATGGTTAAATAATTTATCAACTGATAAATGGATTGTTCTTGTTTTATTAGTGAGAGCTTTTAAGTTGTTGTGTTATTGTTTATTTTTAGTTACACCTTTACTCAGGCTAGTTTGTAAACATGCTTTAGGAAAGGTATAAAGAATAAAATTCTAGCTGGGCATGGTGGCATATGCCTATAATTCCAGCACTCAGGAGGCTGAAGCAGGAGGATCGCTGTGAGTTTGAGACCAGCCTGGGCTGCATAGTTAGTTCCAGGGCTGTCTCAACTACACAGTGAGACCCTGCCTCAAAAAAAAAATTCTACAACACAAGTTTCCAAAAGAATATATTGTACTTGTGAAATAGGAAGAAAAGGGCTAAAGGTGTAGGGGAAATGGGAAGGATAGGGGAAAGGTAATGAGGGAAAAGAAAACCCAACATGATAAAATGAAAAAATGGAAATAAAGTATTTGTAAATAGGGAAGAGGGGGGGGTGAGGGGAGGGGAGGGATAAGGGAAAAAAATGAGAACCAAGACCTGTCATGTAAAGGTACAAGATCCCAGTGATAAATGTAACCAAATTGTATACCTAAAATGTACCAATAAACTCAACAAGGAAAAAAAAAGAATATATTGTACTGATTTGGCCCCTTTGTCTTAATCTCTGGAAAACAATGGAGACCCAGAAAAGCTATGATGAGAGCAATATTAAAACTATATCTGGCTGGCAAAAATTATTAGCCACTGCTGAAAATGCATGTACTGGGCTGGGAATTTAGCTCAGTGGCACTGCACCTGCCTCACAAGCACAAGGTCTTGAGTTTGATCCCTGGTACAAAAAAAAAAAAAAAATGCATGCACTAAGGGCTCCTTATCCTGTACTGTAGTACTGTAGTACTCCCTTCTCTTTATAGGCTCTAATTTCAAATTTTAAATTTACTTAAGCATCTGAAGCCTGCAATAAGCTACATTCATTCCTCCACTTCTCACAGCTCAAATTTTTTACAAACATTGAATTTCAACCTAATTACCATATTTTCCTAGTGTAATTGCTATACACTGGACTTACCTAACACACTCTGGGATAGTCTCATTAAGAGCTTGGTACCAATATATGTTTACAAATTTCTCAAATTGAGAACCAGTGATATAAAATGTAGCATATTCTATTATTAGCTGATTTATTATACCAAGAAAGCTATTTTAGGTTATGGAAAATAATTACACCAGAGAATTACAATGAAAAGAGGTAGCTTTATCTAATCACAAGAAGATAAGATACCTATCCTACCAAAAATTTGCACAACTAGGAATAAACCTAGGAATTTGATAGTGATCTAAAGCAACCTAAAGAACCCACCAGAACAATTATAAAATTATTAAGTAACCAAAATTTTTCTAACCAAAAGTTAGTTGAATCTAGTAAATAAAACACTCTGTTTGCATACAGTACTCATTTCAACCAAGTCATTATTAGGAAAGTTGACTCCTTGCTTAAAGCAAAGCTCAGAAATGTAGAAAACGCAATCAGAAAAGATTTTTTTTTTTTAAAAAGAGTCAACATAAAGCAGCCACTTTAAAATGACAAGTAATGCCTATAGTATTTTTGTGTTGCTATTAAAACCCTCTACACATCTATAAATGTGGCTGTCATATGCCAAAAATGTTTCTAGCAAATGAAAAATGCAAAAAGTAGAAGATATTTAGAAGTGTTATGAACTCTCAAAATAATGAACATACATTCAAACACATTCAAAAAACATTCAAAAAGTTCTAAGATACTCCACATTCTTAGTAAAAGGGGGCCCATAAATTAATTGCTTCTTTCATATAGTGGAGTCATATAAAAGAGCCTATTGAGTTTTTTGTTTGTTTGTTTTGGGTTTTTTGAGACAGGGTCTTGCTATGTTGTTCAGGGTGGCTTGAACTCACTATGTAGCCCGGGCTCATCTCAAATTATCAGACATCCTCATACCTCAGCTTCCCAATTTCTAGGATTACAGGTGTGTGCCACCATGCCTGACTGAGATCTTTTACAAAGTAAAATTTACCATAAAAGATTAGAATCAAGTTACTACATGGAATGGGGCCAAAGTTTACACTATTTTTCTATAATATCATTCTCAGAGAATTAAAACTATGTATTTATATTAGAGTTTCTACATGAAATGGTCACCTACAAGTTTATATTTTGAAATTTATTTGCATTTTCAATCCTTGGCTTTTTTTTTTTTTTTTTAAATGAGGTTTTGCTATTTTGCCCAGGCTGGCCTTCAATTCGCAATCCTCCCAACTCACCTTCTGAAGTAGCTAGGATTACAAGAATGCATTATTGCTCCTGTCTAATCCTTTGCAATTTATATTAACCCCAAATTTGCAATAGGTTCACATACCAGTATTCTGTCTTTCTGTCATGCAAAAATCAGTGTATATCCAGGCAACTTTTCTAGACTGTTTTCCATGTGGTAACTTAGTAATCAAAGTAGTTCGGCCTGGGATTTAGGTCAGAAGCAGCCTGCCTCACAAGTGCAAGGTCCGAAATTGGATCCCTGGTACAAAAAAAAAAAAGACAAAGAAGTTCAAACTTACTCAACTTGAGACCATGTTGGTTGCTAGAGTAAGAGAAAAGACAGTGGACAGGATGTAACCTAAATGCAAAAAGGCTAAAAATGTAGGGAAGCAGATGAAGTGCTTGATGAGCCAGGATTATTTTCTGTAAGATTTTTCATCCTCTATTTAAAATTATGCTTTATCATTAACCTACATCGAAATCTACTAAGTATATAGTGTGTGCCTCATTTCTTAAGTTCTAGTGAGTCACTCTTTCTTTATGACTTGTAGAGATTTTGATTTAGGCAAAGTGTGGTTTCACATGCCTGTACTCTCAACATTTGGGAGGATTCTCATGAGTTCAAGGCCAGCCTGGGCTCCCTAACAAGACCCTGTCTCAAAACACGAATAAATGGAAATAGTCAGACAGACTTTTTCTTTCTTTTTTGTGGTACAGGGGATTGAACTCTGGGCCTTGTGCTTTTGAGGCAGGAAATGGAACCACTGAGCTAAATCCCTGTGCCCAGACAGACAGAATTTAAACCACTAAAATTTTTATTCTAGGCCCCTGGAAATAAGAATATTTTAATAAACCCCAAGACAGACTGTCCAAAATTTGTTGATTAAAGTTGCAGTCTTTTGTAGATCTTTCCTAACTCCATGTATTTTTTTATATACAATGACACATTCAGATTTGATTTAATTGTGGTATTGTTCATGGTAAAATAATATGTCCTATTTATAATATCCGCTTTGATGTAACTATGAATTATATTGAATGTTTTATCTATATCATAACACCAGAGCCTTAAGATTCAATCTATAACAATACTATGACTATATTAACTGGAATCTCCTCTAATATGCAGAATAACAATACTATGACTTTATTAACTGGAATCTCCTCTAATATGCAGAATTGGATAAAATAACCCTAAAGCAATGTGTGTGTGTGTGTGTGTGTGTGTATAGATAGATAGATAGACAGACAGACAGATAGATAGATAGATAGATAGATCCACACTGAAGTTCATATCCTACTTTTCTACTTAGTCAAGTAACTTCTTTGTTTGACTTTTCAGAGAACAGCCCTAGACTGCACAGTAGTAGGTTGGGGATGTGGTTGGAGCAATTGCTGATGACAAAGGATTTAATGTTTCTCCAGTGGAACTAATAATGGGTCATACTATAAATGGGACATTCTTTGGTGGTAAGTTGTCTTCATAATTTTAAATTTTGTAGAATGTAGATTATTGAAAGGAAAGGAAAGTAATTTATTTAAATATTGAGTGTATAAAACATCAAAAGACTTCACAGAAGTTATTCTATTATTTGAAAATACAATTCATATAGAAAGATAACAATTGGCAAAATGAAATGCAATGCATGTTATATTTAAATGAAATAACACAGAGGAAAAATATTTTGACCTAACTTTATCTAGTGTGGAAAACAATCTTCAGTTTTTCTTACAAAGAAAAACTTTAAATAGATATCAGTGCAGAAAATTAAAAATGAAGGGGATGAATTTAATCTACTTGAACCACCCAAATCTGGCCTAATAATTACACTCATTCAACAAACATTCTCACTTAAACTAATTCTTCATGACATATGCCATGTCTTTCTTTATTTGGCATTTTGCCCAAATTACAGGTTGAAAAAGTGTAGATTCAGTCCCTCAGCTGGTTACTGACTACAAGAATAAGAAATTTGATCTAGATATTTTGGTGACACATACCCTGCCTTTTGACAGAATTAATGAGGCATTTGAACTAATGCACCAAGGAAAAAGGTAAATTGCCAAATATGTAATTGAGTGGTCTAGAAGATCTTTATTATCAGTCTATTTTTATTTGATTTAAGAACTAATGTGCTTGTCTTTTCTGACTTTCTACATCAGAATTATTCAATGCATTTAAAAGATAAAATAATTGCCATTTGGGGAAAAAAAGATCTTCCATTTCCATAATGCATGCTATTTATATACTGTTACAACATGGAGTTTGATATAAGTTGACATATTATTTCCTTTTCACAGACAACTGTTAATTCAGCTGGGATTGCTCCCTAGGATGAGGAGTTTGTTAGTACGTTAGCTCCCTCTGTACAATATACCCTTGAGTTCAGAATCACTATAATCTACAATTTAATATAGAATGATGTCCTTTTTGGGCCCTTCATGATCAGAGACTTATGAAACCATCCAGGTGTGAGCAGAGAGTGGCAGATACCAGATATGAAAAGGATGTCATAGGTACATTCTGATACGCAATATTAGCTATATTGTGCTCTTTTATCTGAACCTTAGGAATTGATTAATAGCAATGTCCCAACTGAGAAGTCTCTAGGGGTTGGGGAATGGACAAGATTAGGATCAATTATTTTAGTTAAAATGTTCAAGTATAGCCTTGGCCAGGAGAAACAAAGAAAAAAATACCAGGAAGAATATTACATTATTATTAGAGGAGATACAGGGCAAAGAATAAATGATGAGAAAACAGGGGATACACTAAATTAAGTAAAAATGGCAGGAGTCTGAAGCAGAAAATAAATGTTGCACAAAAAGAAAATAGGTCAATGGTGTGAAGACCCAGCTGTTTCACGAGGAAGAAACCAGGAAAATTCTCTCACTAACATAACTCTCCAATTTACAAACATGTTAGCCTCAACATATCAAAAACTGTTCAATAAAAAGAAAAATTTAAGATTATTTTAAAAGCTACACCATGTAAACTTAGTATATATCTTACACAATATCTTGCACAATATTAGTATGTCCATAAGGAATTATTCCTCATTAGGGGTTGGGTTGTGTTTGGGGGCCTTAGAATTTGGTGCTCAAAGTTCCTCTACCACAGTCCTTTCCCCTACAGTTCTCAGTCATGGAATACACTCACAAATAATGCCAAATGGAAAATGATGCACTGCTATATTAGTAGGTAGGCAAATCTCATACATGCTACAAGGAAGCTTCCCCGGTAATAAGTGGTATGGGTAGATACCTGGAGGTTTTTACTCCCTTATTGGTCCTCTGAGTAAACCACCTGACTGACCAAAGACAGAAAGGTGGCAACAGAAAAGGGGTCTTCCCCAGTGTATTCATCATGGGTACAGGAAGCATATATGAGGTCAAACTCTCCTACCATTCTAACTAATTGCATAGAAGCAAGGAAGTGGGTGGAAGAAGGTGAGATACAATGACTGACTACCCTGCTAATGTGCAGTGATCCTTCCTCAAGGTGAGGGAAGGACACAGCAGTTCTCCCTCCATAGGTAAATGTTCCTGGTGAAGGAAATATTTAGACACAGTATTCTGCTAATGCAGAGAACTGGATTCCATAGCTATGAAAAGGAATTATCTGTCCTTGAGGTTTACCTCCTGTTTGTTTCTTTTATTTTTTTTCCTCATTGAGTTTATTGGTACATTTTAGGTATACAGTACAGTTACATTCATTATTGGGATCTTGTACCTTCACATGTCAGGTCTTGGTTCTCATTTTTTCCCCTTACCCCTGCCCTCCCTTCACCCTTTCCTCCTTTCCCTATTTACAAATATTTTATTTCCATTTTTTCATTTTCTCATATTTTTTTTCTTTTCCCTTATTTCCTTTCCCCTACCCTTCCTACTTCCCCTACACCTTTAGCCCTTTTCTTCCTATTTCACATTGCCAATTATACCATTAGGATCTTATAGACAATTATCATCTTTCATGCCAGAGAAACTATTCGGTATTTATACATATGTGACTTATTTATTCACTTAAGAGTATATCCTCAATATGCATCCACTTTCTTATGAATGACTCTAATTTCTCATTCTTTATGGTCAAGTAGTATTCCATTTTATAGAAAAACTACATCTTCTTTATCCAGTCTCCAACTGATGGGCAAATGGGCTGTTTCCAAGTTTTAGCTATTACAAACTGTGCTGCTATAAACATACCTCCTGTTTGTTTCTACATGTTGAAGTCAACCAGGATTGAAAAAATTTGAGTTCTTGGGGAATAGCATCTCACGACACAGACCTCCCTCTCCTTTGATACCTAACTTTGCTTTTGCCAATAGGAGAGTCACAAGCAGTGACTATTTTGAAGCTAAAAATCTTTCTTCCCCTTCTTAACAGCACCACTGGGCAAAAGGGACATCTCCAGGTCAAGTGAGGGTCTTCAACTTTCCCCTAGATTACTAGCACAATCTTAAAATACTATTAATGCTATGAATGGGAGATGCCAAAATAGAATAAATGAATCTTTTTTTTTTTTTTTTTTTTTTTTTTTTGCTGTACCGGGGATCAAACTCAAGACCTTGCACTTACCAGGCAGGAGCAGCTCCACTGATACACATCCCTGGCTCTAGCATAAATGAGTCTTAAAGTACATATCTATAAGGAGAGCTTAAATCAAGCTGGAATGAAAAAACAAAACATTTGTGGGCTCTGGCTAAATTTTTATGTAAATTATATTGATTGTTGTTTTCTTATTAATAGTATCTCAACAATCCTGACTTTTTTTTTCTTTTTATTGAGTTTATTGGTACAATCTAGGTATACAATACAGTTACATTCATCCTTGGGATGCTGTACATTTACATAATAGGTCTTGATTCTCATTTATTCCCCCTTGTTCCTGCCCTCCCTTCACCCTCTCCTCCCCTCCCCATTTACAAACACTTTATTTCCATTTTTCAGTTTCTCATATTTTTTTCCTCTCCCTTATTACATTTCCCCCACCCTTCCCACTTTCCTTACACCTTTAGCCCTTTACTTTCTATTTCACATTATTAATTACCTCATTAGGATCCTGTGTACTATTATAGTTTTTCACACCAGAGAAACTATTCCGTATTTCAGTTAAAGAGATCTCTGTATGAACATTAAAAATAGGGAACCCTAAAATAAAACTAAAAAGGAAAGTAAAAGAGAAAAGGCAATGATGTAAGATTAAAATAATCCTTAATTCTGAAAAAAAAAATAAAAATGAAAAAAATTAACATTTCTAGACCACTATGGCTGTAAATTTCTGTACAATGCCAAATCAACACAATAAATTGGGATGACATTTGCAAAACTGCAGCACCATTAAAGTTTCCCAAAATTCAATTTATATAAAAAATAAAAATGAAAAAAATTAACATTTCTAGACCACTATGGCTGTAAATTTCTGTACAATGCCAAATCAACACAATAAATTGGGATGACATTTGCAAAACTGCAGCACCATTAAAGTTTCCCAAAATTCAATTTATATATATATATAT